CGCCGGGCCCCGCGGCCCCACGCGCGAGGCCCCCGCGCGGGGGGAGCCCCGGGCCCGGCCGCGCGCCGCTGCCTCCCCCGCGGCGCGGCCGCCCGCGCGCGGAGCCCCTTCCCTTCCCTTCCCTTCCCTGTTTATTTATACGTCCCTCTTCTTTCTTTCGAGGCAGAGAAATGTAAAATCGGATTGTTTCTTCAGGCTGTCAAGTGCCCCTATATATATATATATATATATATATACACATATATATCCAAAAAAAAAAAAAAAACACATCTACTTGTGACCTTAAACGTGTGACCCATGGGTGCAGTTGCAAATGACTATTTTTTATTTATGGTAGAAGGAGTAGACAGTTTATTTTTTTGCAGAACTTATTTATTTTTCAGAGTGGTGGCAGTTTTACTTTGGATACTCTGTGCCAATTGGTTTCTATAGTCGGGTGTTTACACTTTTCTCCTGTGGATTTTTATGTTTAACTTTATACGTGTGCGTTTGGATCGATACAGCGTTCCTTTTTCTTTTTGTCTCCTTTTCGCTCCCTTTTCTTTTGTTTTTGTTTTCCCTCCAATTATATTGCACTTGTGTACAACAAACCTTCCCGTCCTTCCTGTTTATGAGAATATTTTATATATATATCAAGGCGTTTGTTCTTGAATTTTTCCCTTTTTTTAAAAAAAACTATTTATTTATTTTGTGTGTGTATGTGTGTGATGGACAACCACTAGCACTTAACTAGGAGAGGTTTTTTAAAACTTGTTATTCTGATCTATAGTTACGTCTGAAAAGTACTTTGCAAACTGTTTATAAGGGAAGTAGTTTCTTTGTGGGTGTATACGTGTGTGTGTGTGTATATATGTATGTGTGTGAGGGTGAGTGTGGGTGTGTGGTATATTTTTAGGAAATTACATTTTTCCTAAAAAAAAAGAAAAAAAAAGAAAAAAGAAGTAAATCCAGGACTGCTTTCCTTTGTGACAACCAAAAAAAAAAATATCTATAACCTGAAAATGTTTCATGTTCTTGCTGTGAATCTCTTAAAACAAGAAGCGCATTTTAGGGACGAAAGAGAAAAAGAAAAAAAAACCACATCTGCTATCCAAAGATTTTAGTCTTTTTCAGGGTTTTTTTGTGTGTCTCTGTTGCTTTATATAATGCAATATTTTGTAGTGCAAATAGATAAATCTGGTTTCTATCTGATGCGTTTTTCATATCTCTCATGAATGGTGAGCTGTTTTGCATATAAATAAAAGTATCAAATAAAAGCTGTTTTTCCTAATTATTTTTCCCTGTTGCTCTTTCTGTGAGACAGGGAGCGGGCAGAAGGGGTAGCCGGGATTATGAGCTAGAATTCTCCAACCTTCCCGAGCGGTGCGGGGCAAAGCTGCAACAGGTTCTGCGGCGTTCCCTGCCGGAGCCCATTGCAGCCCCCCAGCCCAGCTCCGCATTCCTGGCTGGTCTGGGCTCCGCATGCGGGAGCAACCCCGGCACCGCGGCTTCCACGTCTGCCCTGCCGCCGCTGGCATCCAGCTGCCCGTTTCAAAGCTGTAAAATCTCCTCCGATCCTCAGGAGCACCTGTTTTGGCAGCCTGCTCTCTGGCAAATCCAGCTTCCCACTACAAACAGGCACATTTCAGCCCGCCTCAGTGCCCTGCATTTCCTTTCTCTTGTTTCCGTTTAGTTCTGATCTCTCTCAGGTCAGCTCCAATTCTGGTGAAACCAAATGAAAATCCTGTGCCCCCTTCCGCTGCTCGAACACCTCCAACATCCTCCTTTATATCAGGCTTCCCTGCCAAAGCCTGTCATTAGGAAGAGGGCACAGATAAAAACTCAGTAGCACAAAGGTTATTACCTCAGCAAAGGAAGATCCTTGGGCCATCCCATTTATCAATTCCTTTTCTTATTTACTCTGGGAAGTTAATTTTACCCGTAAATTGGTTGCCACCCTTGACTTGGGCAAGCTGCATTCAGCAGAGAGCACATCTATTGTTACCTGCTTTAGAGACCAAGGCCTCCCACCCCATTCCCGTTCTTACGGCTGACACTTTGCACAGTGGTTTAATCAACTGTGGTCTTGACCAGTTGAACAGCTTCATGCAGGAAACCTGTTTGAGAAGGTGTTAACTCTACTTTCTACCAATGCACACTTTCTGTGCCCCAAGGGACTACATGTAGATTTGGTAGTTGGATGTATAGCTATCAAATCTTGCAACTTCCAGCATGGAAGTTAATTCCACAAAATTTGGAGCTGGTTTTCTTCAGGACTGGTTTGATTCTTAAGTTGTATCCAGATCTAGACCTTTGGTTCAGGTTGGATGCCAATTGTCTGAGAAATATTATAAATCCTGGCATCCAGGAAGCCTTTTTACTACCAGCATCGAGAAGGACTTCAGGGAAGATCATGCCCTACGGCGGTCACTGGAACTTCCCCCATGAAAACTGGCTGTGGGATGAGGAGACACTGTCCCTGTGTTGCTCCAGTCCACACTCCCCTCTCTGTCAGGTCACAGGCTGAGAGGTGGCTGAGGCTAATCGCATGCAGTGAAGATTGCTGTGGATCTGGCAGTGGATTTTAGTCCAGAGGTGCCATGGGTCTCAAGGCAGGGCAACCTCACGCCCAGGACTGCGAGCCCAAATGATGATTTTCTCCTAGCTCAGAGCTGTGTCCCCACCAACACGCTCTCCTGCAAATGTCTACACTGGGTGCCCAGTACCTGAGGTGTGGTGAGGGCCTGAGGGCTCAAGCAAAGACCTCTAGGAATGAGCTCCTGAGTGCAAGGTGGCCCAGGGAATTTGTGCAGAGCCACGGCACAGCTTGGGAGCCCGTGTGTGAGATCTCGCTTGCACTTGGAAGGAAGTTGTGAAGGCCTTTGCTTCTCATAATAACGACACGATCAAGCCTCATGTTTAACCTACAAAAGGTCAGTGCACTTGACTTGAAGATGTTCCCTTTTCTTCCAAATGTAACAGTTTATCAAACGAAAGAAATTGCTTCTCCACACAAACCCATTCACACTTCTACGTTATCGTCACCTTGTGTCTATCCTTTCACCATCATGTTTTGGTGCTGGCATCAAGAAGGAAACTCATTCTCATCTAGCAGTTGATAATTGCTGAAAATAAAATGTAGGTTTTACTCTCCCATTCCCCCCCTTCATTTTTTTCCTAGGGAAGATCTAAATAGTATGGACAAACTACAGGGCTAATGCAATATAAAGGCTGCATGGCTAGGCACTCAAAAGCCTAGATTTATGAAGAAAGAATAAACAACTTTAACTCCATCTCCTTGCGAGTCCGCATTAGACAGCAATCAAGTCTAATTATCCCATCAAAGTTACTTTGCTTATGTCTACATGCCCTCCTCAATACAAGAAAGAATGATCTCGCACAGCATTTACAGGGGGAATAAGGGGGAATTGCTCAGTGAGGATTCTCATCATTAATCATTCCTGGCCAACACAATGATCGGCAGGGAGGAAACATAGCATTAACATTTTCTGCTTTTTTTTTTTTTTTAATGTTTAAACCTATCATTTGGCTTCTGTTCTTTCGCATTTAAAGAGGAGCTCACCCTACAAAACATGACAGAAAGCATGCTTGAAGACGGAGAAGGTAGAGCACTACCTTCAGACCTTCTTTTGAGGCTGAAGGAGGTGATGTAAGCCTGTCTCAATCCAGGGTATAAAAGATGGCATTGGTATCTCCAGCATTCACAAAAAGGAGGTACTTTCTGTCATAGATTGATCATATTGCAGAACTATGGATATTGGGCACACCTTTAACATAAATTGATAAGATGTATCACGACACATCTGCAGGCATATAGGGACACATACTGACGTGGGACACAATACCCATTTGCACCAATAACATTTGGAATCAGGGCATCTAATGCATCCACCTGGACCCTAGAAATAGGCCCCAACCCTGACACAGTGTTCAAGGACAAGCAGCAAGCCACAAATTGCTCATACAGACAAATGTACTGATTTCCATGGGACTGCATGGCCAAGAAAGGACTGTGTCTTTCTTAGAAGACTAAAGAATCTAGAGCATAAAATATCCAATATCTATATATAGACTTGCGCCTATCTTGTTATTAGAAATCTGTACACAAGAGGAAGCTTTTCTAGCCACAGACCATGATTCTAGCTTACCAACAAGGCACACGGTGAGCGTATTCAGGCACACGCTACTCACTGACCACAAAGCGTTGCCTTATTGCCTGTGTTAAAAAGTGTGTAAGCAATTCAGAAGGATATTGCAACTGATACTGGGAGCAGAGGAATCCTGAACAACTTGGATGTGATTTGATATCTTTGTTATATTTCTTGCAGAGAGAGCGTGTGCAAGGGAGAGGGAGAGAGAGAGGGGATGGGGGTGGGGAGGCAGAGAGGATATTGTATACGAAATTCAACAAAGAAATGGATCTTTTCCACTATATTGCCATGAAGAAAAAACAGACACATTCTGTCTCTCTCTCTATTCATGCATCTAGCCATCTAGCCCTCCTGCAACCCAGTTAGCCTAGTCTTTTTAAATACATCCTAATATGAGTCATTATTTTTCAATACTCTCGGTTGCTTCTGCAGGGTGGGACCAATCGATAACCACAACAGCAACCGACCCAAAAGGAAAAGGCAATCTCCCAGCTCTCCTTATTTATTACTTCAGAGGCAATTTTTGTTTTTCCTGCCTCTTCCCCTGGCGATGGATTTTGCCTTCCCTGCCCAGAACGGCCGTGTTGTTTTATCCGGGGCTCTATTTGCATGTGGGCTTCAGATTTGTCTTTGGCTCCTTGCACGGTTTGGGATGAGACCCTCCTGTCCCCAGAGAGGGGGGCAGGTGTTGCTCCAGTCGAGCGAATGGAACCAAATTACAGGACCGTCTGTCGCCTCCTCTGGGAGACGGCGGAGGGAGGGGAAGAAGGGGAGGGAATCGGGATGCCATATGACAGAGGAGAAAAGCAGAACATCATACTGATGCCGATAAGAGCTTGAAAACATGAG